ACGAGAAAAGATGAGAAAGAGAGAAGAGAGAGAGAGAGATGAGACGGTGAAATGACCGAGGAGAGAAGAGAGAGAGAAGAGAGAGAGATCGAAGAGAGAGAAGAGAGAGAGAGAGAGAAGAGAGAGAAGGAGGAGAACGTGCCATCGTGAGTCGTGACCAAACAGCTAGAAACAGTACGCACCAATAACTGCGTAAGAAAACATTGGTTCAAAGGATATGCTGGTTTACGCTACAGAGACAGAATATGAGCAGCGCCGTTGCCTTCCCTTAACGCTGTAATATTAGCGTCACGGAGCTCGATAACGTTCGAGGGTTCCACACCGTCCTTCTGTTTTACTTCAGCCCGTAGGTCTGTGTCCTCAACATTCTTTTTTTTTTCCTGCATATGTAACACAGTTCCGTGATCTTCTGTTTGGTTTTGTTTGTTAGGTGTGGGCTATGGTTGGCTTTAAACCCGAGCTCTGGGGAGAGAGTAGCCCGGTCTAGGAGAATTTGCCGTACGTTGCTTTCTCTGTATGAGTTGGAAGGATTGTAGCATATCAGGATAAAACGATTTGCTGTCACATTTACAGTAATTGGCTTTGCGTGAAGAGTAGAGGAAGATGAGAGAGAGAGAGAGACGAGAGAGAGAAGGAGAGAGAGAGGAGAGAAGATGAGACGAGGACGAGAGAGAGAGAGAGAGAGTAGAGAGAGAGCAGAGAGTTGTGGTGTCTTGTGGTGTATGTGTGTGTGTGTATGTGTGTGTGTGTTGGTGGTGTGTGTGTGTTTGTGTGTGTTGTGCTGTGTGTGTGTGTTGTGTGTGTGTTGTCGTGTTCGTGGATGTGTGTGTGCATTGATGTGTGTGTGCTATGTGTGTGTGTGTGTGTGCTGGTGTGGGAGCACCCTTTGCGTTTGTGTATGGCTCTCCATCCTTGTGTACGCCTGATGTGTGTGTACGGCGCTGCTCGTCGTGTGCGCCGTCTGTGTGACAACACTCTGTGCTGTGATGCTGGCTCTGTCTGTCCTGGCTGATCCTAACTGGTGGTCTGGCCCTGGTGTGTTGATATGTGTTAGATTGTGTGTATGTTGAACGTGTTGTGTGAGAAGCTTAATAACTCCCTGATTGTGCTGTGTGTGTGGTGTGTGTTGTAATTGTGGTGTGTTTTGCTCCAAATGCTTGCATTGTCACGTCTGTGGCGGTCGTGCCGTGCGTGCGTGGCGTGCTGCGTGCCCGTGCGTGCCGTGCGCTACACTGAGGCTTATGTGCGAGTGGAGTGTGTTCTACTATGTCTGATGTTGCTGTTGTAAAGCCTCCGGGTTGGGGATTGTAGAAGATCTGACAACAGTCTAAAGCCATTATAAAAGAAGAAAGACCAAGGTCACTAACAATTTTGAGGGATTTTTAAAAAAAGTATATTTGTGCATTTTGACTTTATTCGAACACCTACGTTTTGATCTTGGTGGACATGAGACTTCCTGATCAAGTAAATCAGCTGAAGACCCCCCCCCCCTCCCCTCCATTTCAATCTCAGTCTTACCCCCCTTGCATTCTCTCGCCGCCCGTCGGATCACTTAATTACTCATTATGTCGCCTTCCCCCCTTAAACTCCTTGTTAAGTGATTAAGTATCTGCAGGTTAACGAGATGGGAGAGTGATAAATGAGGCGGTCCTTGTGCAAGCAGGAGAAGGCTGTCTATTAAAGTAGAGTTTGTCGAGCTGGCGTATTCGTGGTGAAATATTTGAGAACAACAGAATGGTGAAAAGGATCGTGATATCTGATGCAGCTGGCATGTGTCCGAGATGTAGAGAGAAGGCCTGGTAGCACGTGGTATCTCAGTGAAACAGTACTGAGACTGAGCAGCATTAATGTCCAGCAGACATTGTTTTTATTTTTTTATTTACATAGGCTGTTGAAAAAGTAACACAGATTTGGTGATAAGATAGGGGTAAACCAGGCATTGCTGCTAAAGGACAGGATGCAGAAGCGAGCACTTGGCCCGGGCGATCAGAGCACTTTTGGCCCCTCTTCCTGGAGTTGCAAAGACAAATGTCGGTTGGTGTAAAAGGGTTTGAGAAGGGAGAAATGACTGGAGGATCGTATTTAATCTACCTCTTCGATAGGTCGATAATATACAGATTATAGTAAAGTATACTCTTTCCTTTTTACAGTACTGAAGGACGAAGAGGGCGAGGGCGACCGGTTGTCTTCGTTGATGAGGGGTGACATCTCAAACACCTTGGCAGAGGTGAGTGGTCACTGGGTTGTCGGATGCGAGATCTGAGCAACCGTGCTTATTTTGGGATCGTGTGGCCGCTGACATCGCTCATTCGGCTAATGTTGCTCCTGGCGTGTGATGTTTACTGGATCATTGTTTGCGTTTTCCATGTTGGTGTTTTTATCATTCCACATTTAGACATGGTCGATGTGGGGGGGGGGATGATTCATGACAGTGTACTGAGATTTTATACATCTGGCTTGATGTACGGCGCTCATATGTTTTAGATATGAATGTATTTCTCTCTCTCTCTCTCTCTCTCTCTCTCTCTCTCTCTCTCTCTCTCTCTCTCTCTCTCTCTCTCTCTCTCTCTCTCTCTCTCTCTCTCTCTCTCTCTCTCTTTCTCTCTTCTCTCTCTCTCTCTCTCTCTCTCTCTCTCTCTCTCTCTCTCTCTCTCTCTCTCTCTCTCTCTCTCTCTCTCTCTCTCTCTCTCTCTCTCTCTCTCTCTCTCTCTCTCTCTCTCTCTCTCTCTCTCTCTCTCTCTCTCTCTCTCTCTCTCTCTCTCTCTCTCTCTCTCTTCTCTCTCTCTCTTCTCTCTCTCTCTCTCTCTCTCTCTCTCTCTCTCTCTCTCTCTCTCTCTCTCTCTCTCTCTCTCTCTCTCTCTCTCTCTCTCTCTCTCTCTCTCTCTCTCTCTCTCTCTCTCTCTCTCTCTCTCTCTCTCTCTCTCTCTCTCTCTCTCTCTCTCTCTCTCTCTCTCTCTCTCTCTCTCTCTCTCTCTCTTTCTCTCTTTCTCTCTCTCTTCTCTCTTTCTCTCTCTCTCTCTCTTCTCTCTCTCTCTCTCTCTCTCTCTCTCTCTCTCTCTCTCTCTCTCTCTCTCTCTCTCTCTCTCTCTCTCTCTCTCTCTCTCTCTCTCTCTCTCTCTCTCTCTCTCTCTCTCTCTCTCTCTCTCCTCTCTCTCTCTCTCTCTCTCTCTCTCTCTCTCTGTGTGTTCCTCTCTCTCTCTCTGTGTGTTCCTCTCTCTCTCTCTCTGTGTGTTCCTCTCTCTCTCTCTCCTCTCTCTCTCTCTCTGTGTGTTCCTCTCTCTCTCTCTCTCTGTGTGTCTCTCTCTCTCTGTCTCTCTGTGTCCCTCTCTTCTCTCTCGTGTCCCTCTCTCTCTCTCTGTGTCCCTCTCTCTCTCTCTGTGTCCCTCTCTCTCTCTCTGTGTCCCTCTCTCTCTCTCTCTCCCTCTCTCTCTCTCTCTGTCTCTCTCTCTCTCTCTCCTCTGTCCTATCTCTCTCTGTCCTCTCTCTCTCTGTCCCTCTCTCTCTCTCTCTCTCTCTCTTCTCTCTCTCTCTCTCTCTCTCTCTCTCTCTCTCTCTCTCTCTCTCTCTCTCTCTCTCTCTCTCTCTCTCTCTCTCTCTCTCTCTCTCTCTCTCTCTCTCTCTCTCTCTCTCTCTCTCTCTCTCTCTCTCTCTCTCTCCCCCCTTTCCCCCTATCCTTCAATCACTCTCACTCTCATTCATTTTTCTGTAGTTTAATAAAATCTATTGCACACATATGTATTTGTGTGTTTCTGTGTATGTTTATATTACAGCATGCAGGTTACATTTGCAGTTACCAGTGATTCCTTGATTATATTCTGCCATTCTAGCAAATTATTACTTACTGATGTGGCAGAATTGTATCCCATTACAATTTTTAATAATCTTTCAGGCTGTAGGAGGGTTCCTGTTGGTAGTAACTTCTTCAGGCAAAGTTGTGTACATTACGGAGGCTGTAGAGCAGTTTTTTGGCCATAGTCAGGTATGGTAGATTATATGTCAGTACTAAGCTATGTCTATTATTGTTATAAAAATGTGATATGCTTTGGTGTTCACTGAATTGTGTGGCAGATATCAGCAACTGTTGTTACATAGGTGGATCTTCTGGGACACAGCATCTATAATGTTATACATCCAGATGACCATGATATTTTTCAACATCAACTCCAAGCAAAAGGTAGGTAGTCTGGCAGGCATTACTATTGTACATTTTTTGTTATAAAATTGATTTAAGGAATAGTATATTTCATAAATTATACCCCTGGATTAAAAGAACATTTTATTTTTTGTTCAGTTCATCTTTTTGTCATATCTGATTTGACTTTCAGAGCATATGAGGAGATCATTTTTTTGTCGCATGATGGAAAAGGCATTATCACGGAATGATCCAGGTCGTTATGAGATCATTCACATTGTTGGTCAGATGAAGCCAATCCCCCAAGCAGAGGTCCCAGTGCCCTCTCCAAGTATGTCGGCATCATCACCTGAGACAGCCAGTACCTCAAGTAGTAAGTCCATGGAAGCATTTAATTCCCATGTGTCAGCATATATGTAGACAGCTTTAAGGTTGATATGTATAATTTATGTTTTATAAAGTGTTTTCAACTAGGTTATTTGACAGATAATGTATCTCTTTGCTCTTATGTAAGCAATGAATTCTTATTACTCACCGCCCATAATCAGTCATTGATAGCAATAATGCTTAGCCTTTGCTGAGTTCTGCATTTATGTGAATAGAGGATGCTATCATTGCCATTGTCCTCTGTTCTTTCCTCTCTCCCTCTCTATTATTTCATATTTAATTAATACAAGAGAAGTATTGCTGGAATAGATCATCATTTTATCCCAGAGCATGGTGATGAAGACGACAACGATGAATCGGATGGAGATGTGCAGTCTTTGAAAGTTGCCAACAGAACTGGT